CAAGTGAAATTTAACGAAGTTCCCCTTTCGCATTATCAATACTGAGATTCACTCCGTGGACTCTATCCTTCAGTCCTTCGCGATAATTGATCGATGAAAACACACATCGTTAAAGCATTAAAAACATCGGATTTTAAGTTCATGTCCAATTGAGGCAATGAGAGACGTAATATTTAGTTCATGGCTACACTGATTGTTTTTTTTTTATGTAGCGTTATGATTTTTATTCTGTACTATTTTTTAATATTGCTGCTTATTTTTTTTTTTGAGTTTTGAGACTACAATTGGAATCCATGATTCATTTCCTAATATATAAAAGTTCTGATGTATTTATCGGGTTTGTTACTTAGCAATATTTGTCGCATAAGCCAAGAACCCTTTCGAAATATAAATAAAGTCCCAAATAAGGTTGCCTTACAAATTGCGCATTTAAGTCTCATACGACAAAATGGTCAGGCTTATGCCATAACCTTAAATCAATCGTATTATCTTGAACAAACATTTTGTTTAAACTGACGGATTCAATTATATTAAATTATAACGTTTAATATAAAACATTGTTTGCAATAACCATATCTTCACGTTTATTTCTTCTATACTTTTATTTATTACATTTACTTAAATCAATTCCACACAATACATATTTAGGTTCCAAATAATTGATGTTTTAACATTTCTATATAGTACGTCTACTATACAAACCAAAACGAATCAGGCTAAAATTCCAGTGAATACCATTTTGGTGTATAACATTTTACTTTCTTATGTATGAAACTAAAGAGATTTTTGATCATTTCATTTTTTAAAGAAACCTTCAACTCTTGTAGTGTTGAAGGCTGAACTTAAGATGTCACTATATTAGGTGTAGTCGTATGACAATCCGATCAAAGACCGAATGTTGTTAGTTTTTATGGTACCTGTTCTTTTTTTCATAAATCACATCTCATCAGTCATTCATCGCACAAGTCGTGGGCAGCCGGCGGCGCCACGATGACATTTTTATCGATTTATTTATTATCGGCCGACGGAATGGCGCCGAAACGAATTATAAAATCGGAATCTTAAATTCTCGATTATGCTGTTTCAAAATAGTTTACTGTATTTATTATTAATGAACATTTTAAAAATAAAACAAATATGAATCAAAATTTCCAATTTAGAATTTATAAATAACGTAAAAAATTACATTCAGTAATCTTCATTATAACGTTATCGTTGCAGCCTATTAAAGACTAATGCGGAACATAGGTTTACCCCTTAGATTGCCTCATAAGGAGGATATTTGTCACAGTTGCCACGTTTGGCAGGCGGTTTGGCAACCGAAGTTTTTTACTTTTAGTCGTTATTAGGAAGACGCTGCTGCCCATCTCCTGATTTGTTTCGATCTGTCGCCTTCATTATAGGTTTTAGTCAATTCCGACAAGTTACGTAATAGGACCCCAGGGAAACAAATTAATGATACGGAACAAGTAAGGCACTGGAAGAACATGCGAATACTGAAACCAGACATCTCAAGTTCCTTCTTGTTTTTGTTTAGTACTGTATCCAATTTACGGATTAGATTTATATTGTTCTCCATCTTTGTAAAATGTAATCTAAAATGAAAAAAAAAATCGACATAGTGGCAGCCTCGTATCGGTAAACGAAGTGTAAGGCGGCCCCCCGCTATATGAAACGACGACTTGGTAAGTGATCCAGATGGCTCAGGTCCGTGCTTTGTTCTTTGCTAGAGGACTATGATGCTGTGGACTACGAAAATTAAATACATGATTCTCAAATGTTCATTGGTACATTACATATTACATAAGATTTTTACTATTGGTACATTAGTTATTTATGATTGGTGGTACGTTACATATTATATAAGCGAATAAGTTTTATAACTCTCCTGATATGACATACTTAGCATGAATAAATAATTTCCTTAACCACTGTACTGTCTATCTTTTAAACATAATTAGTTAAAAAAAAACTTTTTATCCATTATAGTTCGATAAGTCTTTACAGTAAAAAAATAAAGTAACTGCTTTTAAATATGTCCCATTCTTGCTCATAGGAATCCCCTCATTTCTGAGAGGGCCTACAGTAAAGTTTTAATAACATAAATAATATAAATTTTTGTTTATTTTGCGTATAACCGTTACATTAGCGTCTTTGAGGTCAAGACTCTACAAGGTCATACTATTTTTACAACACTTACAAACACCAGTAACTGAGGCCACGATTAAAAGAGATAATTTTTTAAACATTGTTTTATATTCGTATCGTTTAAGCAACACAAAAATTAGAAAAATAACAAAATATTCTTACAAAATTACTGTGCCGTGTCATCAACAACACATCCCTTTCGTTCGTCGGTGTAATAATAGCGTGTATTTAACATCCCACTTAACAGTAGCAGGTCCGGGCTTTGGGAATCGTCCCCATTACCTGGACGCTATATCTGGTAAGAGATAGTGTCCACGTAATTCTCTCATGGTCTTCGTGGCCGCAATTCTTGCGGGATTGGTTGGTTTCATTTTTGAAACAAAAATAGCGTTATATTTCTATTTCTATGTAATGCTGACATTGATATCTTACGATCAGGTCCTATGTTAATCCTCGTTGAGTGTTCCATCCTCGTTGAGTGATCCATCCTAGTCGAGTGGCGTTAGTGTTTCTCGAGAGAGTTGTCGTCCTGCCGGTGCGGTGGTCTTGCGCAAAGTGGGCGTACCCCGTCAGTTGTTCAGTTGGCCTGTTGTCAGTGCAGTCGAAGCGGCGACAAACGGACTACGCATTCCTAGATGTTTAATTCCTGGTAGTTTATTTTCTGAGCCTGCAGTCGCCTCCGCGTCTATTTGAATGGTCGTTGACTGAATGTAGGGCTTGTAGACCTTCGGTTATGGTTGGTAAGCGGAACTTCGATATGGATCGCTACAAACCGCGCGCGGTTATTGTGGGTGGACTGCTTTGTCCATCTGGAAAGGTCATTTTGTGCGGTCAATTTGACATCCTAGGTACGTTGCTGTGGTCGTTCGCTCAATTATCTGATCTCAAAGTTAGAAAATTTCAGAGGCACCTGGTGTGCTGAAGGGCTGCCTTCCCGAACCCCATTCTTATAGTGATTACTTGGGCGAAAGCATTTTAAGCAACTTTCTTAAAAATTGAATAATATTTAAAATTTTAACGAATTAAAATATGGCCCCAACATTTTTGAAAATATTCCGTGATGAATTTTTAATTTATACTCTAAAGCACCGAACTTATGCTTTTGTTTCTACATTATACTCGTCTAAGGGTCGATTTTTCAAACCTCAGGTAAGAGTTATTCTTTGGATAAAATACAACATAAACAAAGTCAAAATTATAGTTATTTGAACAAAATGGTTCCATTGTTTCACTTTCATTGAACTTTTATCCGACAGTTGATAAATTGATCCTAAATAAAACATTGGTCAAAAAATCGTCTTTGAATTTTTGTTAGCTGTATATGTATATAATTTTATTATTTTTTGGGCTACCTCCTATCTTTTTCTGATTCCCTTTGTTTAATTTTTGTATTGCAAAATACTAAAACAAACTAAAATTTTCCACATACATTTTAAATTGCGCTACTGGTTAAGTTTTTGAATATTTAAGAGACAACTTCCAGGTTGCTATAACAAAAAAGTAACACATAAAATAAAAAGGCCACATAGTTGTTAGGATTCTATGCATACTGATATGTGATATTGATTACCTCTGAATGTAAAAGTATTTTCAACTTTCTGTTCAATCGTGTTCCTGAAATTGAATTATTAATATGTTTTCTTTTATAGAAAAAACATACAATTAACGTGATGGTAAATGGATGCTGTGGCTCATAGACATCTACATCTATCCTCGATTAAGAATCAAAATGTCATTGTCATGTCTCATTGTCATCTATACAAATAAATAAAATTGAAGTGTCTGTTTGTAACGTCAACATACCAGTTTTTTTACTAAATGCATATGAAAGTATAAACGGTACTTATAAGAAAAACATAATTAAAAAAAAATATTCTGTCGAAACGGCTAAACCGATTTCGACGGGACTTTCACTGGCAGATAGCTGAAGTTATAAGGAGTAACTTAGGCTACTTATATTTTAGAAAAAGAATTAGGATTCCGCGCAACATAAATAAAACCCTAAATTACACGCATTATATAAAACAATGCTGGGAGATATTTAATATGACAAAATACCAACCAAAGAATAGTAATAAAATATAATATTGAGTTTACTTATTGGCACATTCAAGTATCTTATTACATAATATTAAATAGATATTTTGTTTTATTATTCTTACACATTTAATTAGACTCAAAATGCCATACCTAAACCTGATTAATTAATAATATGTATAACATGGGTATGGGTCAGTATAGCGCACACTCACAACAACGTACACAAAAAGTACATATGAAACAAATTGAAACTGAGCGTCGTTATATTCGTAATAGGCGACAACACGCTTATAGTCCAAAATCCCAGGGCCATCAGACATCACTTATTTTCTGACGAATGAAATGTGTAAGATTGATTAATTCTTAGTTTTTTATTTTGTTCCGTAGAGTTATGCCAGTGGTTGTAGCACAGTTTTGGTAGGTTTGACCAGAGAAAGAACGCGCCCTCACAGATTACTAGCGTAAAATAGAAGCTTAATGCTGTTGTTTCGTATGGTGAGAGTAAAGAATCGGGGACACTTTTTACTGAAAGCTAGACAGTTTTCTCGTGTCATCGTGTTCATTCTTTAGTTGTGATAACACATCTGGATTTAGATTCTTATTTGAGATGATATTGTAGATGTATATGGGTCACATCATTCATTTACCACCATGGACTGTGTTCACTTGTCACGCTTGTTCTTTAAAAAATACTACAGTATATCTAACTATTTACTACCCTGTATGTAGGGTTAACATAATTCACGATTACTTTTATTATAATAATATATTTTGTTTTTGTTTGTTAATATGTTTGTTTTGTTTAATTTCAGCACACAAAGAAGGATGTTATATAAAAGAGATTAATGACGTCATTCCATATAGATCAGAGATCACACCGCTCGGCTATTGCTACAGGATTGAGTGTTCGCACGATATGCTGTATTACGCTTCGTAAGTATCACGTCTTATTCATTAATTTTTCATATTATTTATTTGAAAATCGACGATAGCTTCGGGAGATTAGTTTTGTGAATTCAAGACGTGGTCCTTCACTGCTGGCCGTATGAAAAAGCTCAAGGTCGCTTAATGATGGTTTCTCTTTGTGATAGACTTAAACATGAGGATATCCACAGTAGAACCAGAGTAACCGACATAGCCCAATGGATTAGTAAGCTGAAGTGGTAATTACCCGGTCATATAGGTCAAAGAAGCTACTACCGATGGGGGTGGAAGGTTCTCGAATGGCAGTCTCAAACCGGTAGGTTTTTACGTGGTAGAGCCATGCTGCAGCTATATTAGTAGTATAGTTGTGGCACGAATTGGTCAGCTCGACCGGGGAAGGACCACACTCTCACAGAATACCAACGTAAAATAGCAGCTTAATGCTGCTGTGTCTCGTATGGTGAGTGTAGAGAACCGGAGACCCTTTTTACTGGAAAGGAGGCATTCCATCTTAGTCCTTACGGGTGACAACGCATCTGCATTTTGATTCGTAATCGAGGATAGATGTAGATGTCTATGGGCCGCAGCAACACTTACCATCAACTGCGTGCTCGTTTGTCACCATCGTCCAATAAAAAAAAAAGAAAAAAATGAAATGTAGGGCGGCCCCTTACTTGATAAAGTTACAACCTTGTAAGACATGCAGGAAGTCGATGGATGAAAGTGGCTCAGGTCCCTCCTTTGAGGCATTCCTAGGGGAAGGCCTACGTTCAGAAGTGGACTTGTGTGTAGGGTTGCAATGATGATGATGAATCAACTACATAATGGCCGAGTATTTGACTTAGGTACTTGTTGTATGAGTTTGCCTTAATAAAAGTGTTTGTAATTAACAGAATCAGGCGTTATTTTGCGGTAATCAATTATATTAAAGTTGTTAAAAATTAATTTGCTTATATCCGCTTAATGAAATACAATGATGAGTTTTACCTATTGTGAAAAGCACCTCCCGCCATTCGTTTCTCAATTGCGTGCACTAACCCCGTCACCACTAATTCCAGCACTACTTCTCCCAACACCATTATACTAGGAAAGACACCACCGTTGGCACATGATTCACCTATACACGAGGCATCCTCGGGATGTCGGAGGACGCTTCATTTTCAGTTGGCTGACTTCACATTTGTCCGGAATATTTTTTTTTTTTACTTTTCAAACGTCACCTTAAGGAATTTTTCCTTGACTGCCGAACACTTGATAAATAATTTAAAATTGCAATTGGTGCTGACGGGGACCGAACACGGTTTGCTTACGAAACTTACAGCAGGCGATTATCTCTACCACGGTTAATAATTTGTTGTAGCATTAGAAAGGTTTTAACTGCTGCAACAATTTCCAAAAACTACTGAAAGTTTGAACTGCTTATTTTAATGACACAATTGCGCAAACACCGATTTCTTTTGTGAATACACTTGTTTGGAATATGATTGGTATTACAGTTTTGCTGGTATAAAAGGTCTATATACGCTGAAAACTTATATACGTAATAGTAAATAGTAATACGTAAGTTGCTTCTCCAGTCTATGGATACCTGCAGCAAACTTCAAACCAAAAAGGCTACAGACACGTTGTCACCTCTGAGGACTAATATGAAGAGCCTCACAGCCTGTATTAAAACGGATCTCTATAAACTTTCGACCGGAGCAATACAGGCACTGCTGTTCAGCGGCAGTAGGTTTTTATAGATGGTAGAGCCATGCTGCAGCTATATTAGTAGTATAGTTGTAGCACGAATGGGTCGGCTCGACCGGGGAAGGACCACGCTCTCACAGAATACCAGCGTAAAATAGCAGCTTAACACTGCTGCGTTTCGTATGGTGAGTGTAGAGAACCGGAGACCTGTTTTACTGGAAAAGAGGCATTTTATCTTAGTCCTCACGGGTGACAACGCATCTGCATTTTGATTCTTTATTGAGGATAGATGTAGACGTCTATTGGTCACAGCATTCACCATCAGGTGAGCTGTATGCTCATTTGTTACCCTTTACTATATAAAAAAAGAGAATACTATCCAACCAGACGAACTTCTAGACAAAATAAAATCACCTAGTCATGTCTAACCTGTTTTTAAAATTGTAATCTCTGACATTGCATCCAAGTAAGTGATTTTTTTTTGCGTAAGCGTAAACAATATAGGTATTGTATGGCGAACATATAATCACTCCGAGTCTGGATGTTTATTCTTGCGCTATTTATATTTGTAAACTGCCTCCACATCATCCGATACAGGCGAAAAACCTAGTGTGGGGGTAAAGTTTAAAAAAATCCTTATCGTTGTCTTAAATTATTTTTTATATTATTCTAAGCTAGCGCTTAACTAGAATCCCACCTGATGGTAAGTGGTGATGTAGCCTAAGATTGTGAAGCGCACCGACTTAACAAACTCATAGCATAATTATTCGGATAGAGATAGCAGTATATGTTCTTGTTATATACAAATATTATTTTAAATTTAATTTCGAAATCTGCTATACACATCTGAAAGCAGCAACATACTCGTATTAATGTCAGTCATTATCAGTTGCATGCCCTTAGCCTATGTCGCAACGTATCTTTGTTTCTCAATATTATTTTGCTATTAGCATAGTTCCCTAACCCTTTTGACATATGCCTAATGATAAGCGACGTGGAAGTAAATTTGTCAATTACTTCATCGGTTCGTACTTGTAAAAATATACTGTTGATAATCATGCTTTAATCCTGTACTACGTACATGGCTAGTCTCACATAGTTCATCATGTCGTAAGAGCAGACAGAGGGAAACAAATCAGGAAGGAGGCCTCCGTTTAGCAGTGGAGTTTGAATTTGTTATATATATATATATATATATATATATATATATATATATATATATATATATATATATATATAACAAATTCAAACATCTAATAACAGCAAAGTAGGATACTTATCCGTCTTAGGATAGTTATAGAATATCGTCTTAACATTTATTTATTTTCATTTATAATTTTGATTTATTTTAAATTTGGTAGAATTTTACATAAATACTAGAACTTTCTCCTGTATTGTAGGGGTAGTTTACAAACATAAATTCCACAAGGACAAACATCCAGACGTACGCATTTCAATGTTAAGCCACTGCGCCATGGAGTTATTCATCAGCCGCCACATTCAGGCATCGAATATTATTAACCCGTTATTCTGATCATTTGAAAATCCCCTTTTCTAGAAAAAAATCTCATTTGTCAACAAATCATTATATTTGGAACTAATCATTGAGTATTCTTTTAGATGCGGGAAACTCCTGACTGACGATCCACATTGTCATCTCACAGAACCCGATCTCACTCTGCCGTACCCTGACTGTTGTCCCAAATTTAAATGTGACCCAGATAATAACCTCATTTAGTTCCTAAATTAGAGCATGTTTTAGTTTTGTTGGCGTTAGTAGAAAAACATTATAAGCACTGAGTGAATGATTCGAAAAAAGAATTAAAATCTTTTCAATATTGTCAGTCAAAACTCTCGTGTAAAGAAGGCCTGACTATTATTGATTTGTCATAACTTTAGTTTCATAAGTAACAGAAAATGTTTTCTTATTAGAAGTTATAAATAGTAGTTCTGATTTTATATACATTTAATTTGAAAACGCTATCAATTCTCTGTTATATTGACAATAACCTTGTTCCATGATTAACTTTAAAAAAGTCAATGCCAAATCAATTAAAAGATTCCATTCTTATAACTGAAGATCGCGAAGGCATTGATTAGAGAGGACCAAGTTCCTTTTACAAATAAAGAAACAGCACAACACCATATTGCTCTATGTTTCTTTTTCTTAGCAAGTTAATGGGAACTAAGGCATATATTTCACAAATACTAAACGCTGCATACTTTTGCTGAAGCATGGATACAGGCAATAGGTCTTCAGACTTGGCATCTTCACCCAGTTTAACCTTATACCAACAAGCAAACAAAGACATTTACAGTAAAAGAGAAAGTCAGAATTCTTAATTTTTAAATATACTCTACGTAAGTAGAGTTTACTACACCTACAGAAGGTGTCTTCTGTCTGAATTTGTCAATATTACCATTACGAGGAAATGAAAACGTGTATTTTTAAGAGAGTTTCCAAAAATGCGTGAATGTAAAATTAATTTATAGTTATTAAGCATTAAATTCATATGAGTAAAACTAGAATGCCAACAAAAAGTTTATTACTAAGACTTATTGATAGAGTTCCTTGTTAAAGAGTTTAGAGTCTATTGTCGTAGTTATAACTCTAACTCCAGAAGCTATCTTGCCGCCAAATTGTTGAATTTATTTATTTTTAATAAATTATTTTTATAACGTTTTATTTTTATTTGAAAATTGCCTCTCCTTAATAAAAAGTAATGTATGTGTGTGTGTGTGTGTGTGTGTGTGTGTGTGTGTGTGTGTGTGTGTGTGTGTGTGTGTGTGTGTGTGTGTGTGTGTGTGTGCGTGTGTGTGTGTGTGTGTATGTGTGTGTGTGTGCGTGTGCGTGTGAGTGTGCGTGCGTGTGCGTGCATGCGTGCGCGCGCGTGTGTGTGTGTGTGTGTGTGTGTGTGTGCGTGTGTGTGTGTGTGTGGGTAGTAAAGTGAAAGCTCTCAGAAATGTGCCAAATAAGTCAATATTATTATCATAAGTATAATGTTAATTTAATTTTAAGAATTGTGCACGAAACGAGTATTAATATAATTCAATAAAGTCAAAGTGACAGTCAAAGTATTTTTTTAAAACGTTACCCCCACACTAGGATTTTCTCCTGTATCGTGGAGGCAGTTTACAAACATAAATTGCACGAGGACAAACATCCGGACCCGGAACAATTATTTATAGGCCATACAAATACTTATTCCCAGCGCAACAACTCATTGCTAAGCCACTGCGCCACGGAGCCGTCAAAATGTTTTGTAAGAATATTGTCCACACGTGGGTGTCGTAAGAGGCGACATACGAAAACTGAAACAAGAGATGGAGAGCAGCACCCTTCCTGAGAACAACTCAAATTAAAAAGCAAATATTGCAATAGATAGAATGTAATGATGATGTGATTGATAAGTCGCAATATAAGAAATCGACTATCTCGTAGTAAGATAGATCTCAAATATCATGGTTCATAAATATAATTTTGATTACTCATAGTAAAAAAGTTATTTGTTAACAAACTATATAACTGTACTAATGTTATAAAAAGAAAGTGAGAAATTTGTAAGTTTGTATATATGTGAAAGGTGACTTCCAGAAAGGTACATTACACCAGATGGACATAGTCAATATAATATTATCTTTAATAATATAAATTATGGCCAAAAGTTATGTTACGTACCTCTTAAAAGCTTCCATGGTGTGTGCTACGTCAACAGTTAAAGTGTCACGAAAATAATGTATGGCTCAATTGTTCCTCTTGAAAAATTAATAAAAAGACCGCGACAGCATATGTAACAATCTTCTACTCGTAAAGATAACTCATAGTAATTGTTTTTATACAAAAAAGATCGCGCGTCAAAATGTTTACTGTGGTGGTCGGAAAAAATGTGGTATACCACGGAGTTTTAAAGTAAATAAACCTACATAATATTTAAGAGCCGGGGTGGCCCACTAGAATCTAAATATTAAAGTAAACATTAAGGCACCTCTTTCACAAATGAAACTCTAGTTAAAATTAAAAATACATATCAGAAAATCAAAATATCAGTTAATAAGTAGTAGTGTTCTAAATTGTTATTGTGTTGGTAGGAAAGAATGTGGTATACCAAGAAGTTTTAAAGTAAATAAACCTACATAATATTTAAGAGCCGGGGTGGCCCGCTAGAATCTAAATATTAAAGTAAACATTAAGGCACCTCTTTCACAAATGAAACTCTAGTTAAAATTAAAAATACATATCAGAAAATCAAAATATCAGTTAATAAGTAGTAGTGTTCTAAATTGTTATTGTGTTGGTAGGAAAGAATGTGGTATACCAAGAAGTTTTAAAGTAAATAAACCTACATAATATTTAAGAGCCGGGGTGGCCCGCTAGAATCTAAATATTAAAGTAAACATTAAGGCACCTCTTTCACAAATGAAACTCTAGTTAAAATTAAAAATACATATCAGAAAATGAAAATATCAGTTAATAAGTAGTAGTGTTCTATATTGTTATTGTGGTGGTAGGAAAGAATGTGGTATACCACGAAGTTTTAAAGTAAATAAACCTACAGAATATTTAAGAGCCGGGTGGCCCGCTAGAATCTAAATATTAAAGTAAACATTAGGGCACCTCTTTCACAAATGAAACTCTAGTTAAAATTAAAAATACAAATCAGAAAATCAAAATATCAGTTAATAAGTAGTAGTGTTCTAAATTGTTATTGTGGTGGTAGGAAAGAATGTGGTATACCAAGAAGTTTTAAAGAAAATAAACCTACATAATATTTAAGAGCCGGGGTGGACCGCTAGAATCTAAATATTAAAGTAAACATTAAGGCACCTCTTTCACAAATGAAACTCTAGTTAAAATTAAAAATACATATCAGAAAATCAAAATATCAGTTAATAAGTAGTAGTGTTCTAAATTGTTATTGTGGTGGTAGGAAAGAATGTGGTATACCACGAAGTTTTAAAGTAAATAAACCTACATAATATTTAAGAGCCGGGTGGCCCGCTAGAATCTAAATATTAAAGTAAACATTAGGGCACCTCTTTCACAAATGAAACTATAGTTAAAATTAGAAATATATATCACAAAATTAAAATATCAGTTAATAAGCAGTAGTGTAGTAAACTGAAGGTGTAAGAATGTCTACTATCCCATATCGTTCTGTGGGTTTCGTAAGAGCAGACAGAGGGGAAGAAATCAGGCCTCTATTTAGCAGTGGACTTTAATAGGTTGTAACGATAAGGATAATGGAGTTTTTTACGTAGTAGAGCCATGCTGCAGCTATATTAGTAGTATAGTTGTAGCACGAATGGGTCGGCTCGACCGGGGAAGGACCACGTTCTCACATAATAGCAGCGTAAAATGGTAGCTTGACACTGCTGTGTTTCGTATGGTAAGGATAGAGAACCGGAGACCTATTTTACTGGAAAAAAAGCATTCCATCTTAGTCCTCACGGATGGCGACGCATCAGCATTTTGATTCTTTATTGTGGATAAATGTAGATGTTTATGGGTCACAGCAACCACTTACCATCAGGTGGGCTTTGTGCTCGTTTGTCACGCTATCCTATAAAAAAAAGTTAAAAAAATTGGACGTTCTATATTCACCGATTAATCAGAAACTGCAGAACAGATTGGTCTTAAGCACCGACTTTAGAAACTAAATTTTGTGTTAAAATTATATTATTTATTTTTCTTGAAATGCTCTTTTTAGCCTGGACTTAGGAAGTTGGTGTTGTTTCACCCTCTATTTTTTCTATTTTTTTTTAAGTAACATGTACTCCTTTACCGTGGAGGCAGTTCACAAACATAAATTGTACAAGGACAAACATTTAGACGTACGTGATTCAAATCCATGGCATTCAGTGCTGTTTTCTCAATGATAAGACATTGCGCTGACATTCTTCATCAGTCATACTGTGATATCGAATGCCATCACCCGTTATTCTGATTATTTGAAAATCCCCTTTTTTCTAAAAATGTCACATTGATCAACAAATCATTATGTTTGGAACTAATTAATATCTTCTTTTACAGATGCGGTGTAGCGTACACAGACGATCCAAATTGTCATCTCACAGATACAGATCCCAGTCGGCCGTATCCCGACTGTTGTCCCGATGTTTTATGTAGCCTAGATAATAACCTCATTTAGTTCGTAAATTAGAGCATGTTTTGGTATTGTTGGCATTAGTAAAAATACATTGTAAGCACTGAGTGAATGATTCGAAAAACTTTTGCCAGTCAAAAATATCGTGTAAAGAAGGCGTGACTATTATTGATTTGTCATAATTTTAGTTTGATGAGTAACAGAAAGTTATTTTTTATTACAAACTAAAAATAGTAGTTCTGATTTTAAATACAGTTATCAGTAAATCAATTCTATCTTAAACTGAAAACAACCTTATGCTTCAAGATTAACTTAAAACAAATCAATGCCAAATTAATTAAAAGATCTCTTATAACCGAAGAATGCAAAGGCATTGATTAGGAAGGACCATGTTCTTTTTACAAATCTATATTTCTTTTTGTTGGCGCGGTGATGAAAACTAAGAAATATATTTGAAAAATGCTGACCTGACAAGCAATTGTTTTTCGTACTTGGCATCGTCACCCGAGTTTTATCTTATACCGTCAAACAAACAAAAACTTTTACTGTAAAAGAGAAAGTCAAAGCTCTTAATTTTAAAGTATAAGTAAAGTTTACTATACCTACGGGAGAAAATGATTTGTCAAATTTACTA